TTCAACCTTTGTCACATTTATTCTTACTTGTGTTTTTCTAAAAGTTCACATATTCTTAAATATCGCTTTCATTTATTTTTAAAAAGTAATCTAGCCGGGCGTGGTGGCTCACGCCTGGGTAACCCCAGCACTTTGGAGGCCGAAGTGGGCGGATCACGAGTTCAGGAGATCGAGGCCATCCTGGCTAACACCGTGAAAGCCCGCCTCTACTAAAAAATACAAAACAAAATAGCTGGGCATGGTGGCGGCGCCTGTAGTCCCAGCTACTCAGGAGGCTGAGGCAGAGAATGTGTGAACCGGGAGGTGGAGCTGCAGTGAGCGAAATAAAAGAGACACAAACAAGTGGAAGAACATACCATGGCTCATGATAGGAAGAATCAATATTGTGAAAATGGCCATAACTGCCCCAGGTAATTTATAGATTCAATGCCATCCCATCAAGCTACCAATGACTTTCTTCACAGAATTGAAAAAACTGCTTTAAAGTTCATATGGAACCAAAAAAGACCCGCACTGCCAAGAGACATATCCTAAGTCAAAAGAACAAAGTTGGAGGCATCACGCTACCTGATTTCAAACTACTACAAGGCACAGTAACCAAACAGCATGGTACTGGTACACAAAACAAGATATAGACCAATGGAACATGATACAGAGCCCTCAGAAATAATACCACACATCTACAGCCATCTGATCTTTGACAAACCTGACAAAAACAAGAATGGGGAAAGGATTCCCTATTTAATAAATGGTGGCTGGGAAAATTGGCTAGCCATAAGTAAGAAAGCTGAAACTGGATCCCTTCCTTACTCCTTACACAAAAATTAATTCAAGATGGATTAGAGACTTAAATTGAGCCTAATACCATTAAAACCCTTAGAAGAAACCACGAAACCATTCCAGGACATTAGGCATGGGCAAGTGACTTCATGTCTAAAACACCAAAAAGCAACGGCAACAAAAGCCAAAAATTGACAAATGGGTCTATTAAACCTAAAAGCTTCTGCCCAGCAAAAGCAAACTACCATCAGGTCGAACAGGCAACCTACCGAATGGAGAAAATTTTTGCAATCTACTTCGTCTGACAAAGGGCTAATATTCAAGAACCTACAAAGAACTCCAAACAAATTTATAAGAAAAAACAAACATCCCATCAAAAAGCGGACAAAGGGATATGAACAGACATTCTCAAAAGACATTCATCACACCAACAGACACATGAAAAGCTGCCTCATCCACTGGCCATCAGAGAAAGCAAATCAAAACCCACAATGAGAACTATCTCACACCCCAAGTTGACAATGGCAATCATTAAAAAGTCAGAAACCAACCGGTGCCTGGACAGAGGAGTGAGAAATAGGAACCTTTTACACCTGTTGTGGGATTGTAAACTAGTCAACCATTGTGGGAAAACAGTATGGTCCCCCTTCCTCAACGGATCTAGAAACTAGAAATAACCATATGAACCAGCCATCCCATTACGGGTATATACCCAAAGGAATAAACTCATCGCTGCTATAACAAGACACATGCACACGTAGGTTTACGGCGGCACTATTCACGAAAGCAAAGACTTGGAATCAACCCAATGTCCATCAGTGAGCAGACTGGATTAGAAAAAGTGCACATATACACCAATGGAGATACTATGCAGCCATAAAAAAGGGACCTGAGTTCCTGTCCTTTGTAGGGACATGGATGTAGCTGGGGGAAACTTCAGTTCGCAGCAAACTATTGCAAGAAACCAGAAAACCAAACCTGCATGTTCGTCACTCATAGGTGGGAATGAACAATGAGATCACTTGGCACCGGGAAGGGGAACCATCACACCGAGCCTATGTGGAAGGGGCGAGGGGGGATGGCATTGGGAGTATACCTGATGTAAAGATGGTTTTGATGGTGCCACACACCAAATTGCACATCTATAACATTATGTACAAACCTGCACTTTGTGCACATGTACCCTAGAACATTATAATAAAAAAAAAAAATTTTTTTTTAAATGAGAATGTGAAATGTTGACATTGTGTTATTCCTAATGTGTGGAGAATCAGCTTATCAAAATTATCACATAATGTCAAAATGTGCTGTTAGCCCCTGTTTTTCATTAGATGTGCAGCAATAGTGGAGAAAATCACTGTCTTGTTCATGCTTTGCAGAGTTTATCATAAACCTAAGTTTGAATTTTGTAAATCTTTATTACATTTTGAGTTTTTATTTTAGTCTGTTAACATAGATTACACTAAGGAGAGTTAAACTATGGGATCAAACTTTATTCTGATAAACTCACCAAGTATGATTATTATGTTTGTATATGAGGGATTGCATTTCTAAATGTCCCTTTGTTTTTTTAGCATTGATGCAAGTTTATTTAGAAAAAGGCTTACCAACAAGAAAGAGAAGTAATGGCTTGAAGAGCCCCAGTGAGCGTAATTTGAAGACGAGTGCCTCAATTTGCTAAAATTTGTTAAGGCGCTGCTATATCATGTGGTGATTGGTCTAGTTTTTTAATGTCATTTGCCTCTGTGTCCTGTTAATGCTAACTTCATATATGTTCAGTAAGGTTTGAACCTTTCTGTTTTTGGAAGTCTGTAAATAATGGTAAATTTCTTCCTTTAAATTCGAAAGTGCTTACATGTTTTATAGGAAATGACCCTCAATTGATGCCATCAAGAAAAAGGAACCTCAGTCCTACAACCACAAAGAACTTAAATATGCTAACTACTCAAAATAAGCAAGAAACAGATTCTCCGTGAAACTCTAGAAAGGAACACAATCATGACGACACTTTGATTTTAACCCAGTGATGTCTCTATTATACTTATGACCTAAAGAACTGTAAGATAATATATTTGTATTGTTTAAACCGTAAGTTTGTGGTGATTTGTCGGGATAGCAATAGAAAGCTAATACATCAACATTATTCTGTGAGCATCTCTTTACTTTCCAATGCAGTATTTCCTCGACTCATGTTGTAACTTTTCTGCCACAATCAGAAAACAGCCTCTTCTCTAAGGAGTTCTGGTTCCCTTTATTAAAAAATTATACAAACCAATAACTGGGCATTAAATATGCTCAAAGCTACTGGAATGCCACTGCTTGCTAGGATATCTCACAAAAGATAGGGAGTATGTACACATTATCTATTTAAATTGAATTCTTTATCTACATAAATTGAATTCTTTTTTTGTAGGTTAAACCTACAAATATTTCAGAAGTTGGTTATTTAAAAAGATTCTTAAGACTACAGTAGCATACTTATGTAAGGGTTTTATTTATAGGCAAAGATATGGTATAGTATGAGAATACAACACCAAATGCATATTGAATAAAATAACAAATGGATAAACTGGGCTTCATAAAATTAAGACAATCTGTTTTAGGAAAGATACTGTTAAGAACTGAAAACAAGGTCAAGCATGGTGGCTCATGCCTGTACCCTGGCACTTTGGGAGTCTGAGGCAGGATGACCACTTGAGGCCAGGAGTTAAGAGACTAGTCTATGTAACATAGCAAGACTGCACCTCTAAATTTTAAAAAAGAAAACAAAAGCCACAGACAATGAAAAAATATTCCCAACGCTTATATCAAATAAGGAATTTGTCTTCAGAAATGTTAAGAACTTGCAACCAACCAAATGTTTTAAAAAACAGGCAAAAAATACCAACAGACATTTTACTAACGAAGATATATGAGTGACAAATAAGCACATTTAAAAAAGCTGAAAACTAAGTCATTGGAAAAACACAAATTAAGAACTACAATGAAATACTACTGCATATTTAGTAAAATGGCTAAAATGAATGGCCTATGATTTCCATACATATAAATTGTCAGTAATGTGAAGAAATGGAAAACCTAATATATTCCAGGAGGAAATACGAAATGCTAACCATTTAGAACACAATTTGGCAACTAAAATTTCAAACATTTGGATCCACTTACAGAATAACTGAGGAGCTTTGCAGCCCTGTTACACAGCCAAAAGGGTGAACATTATAAAAACACAATTCAGTCTCTGGAAATGGTCACAAGGGTGTATGGCAAATAAATATTTATTAAAGAAGATCTAACATTCATAAGAACAGCAAAAGTCAGTCACATCTGAACCAAGACCACTCCTTTCCTCCCCCAACTCCAAATCAGCGCAAGATAAAACTGCATTCGACTTTGGCAGCCAAGAATACGAGGCTCCCTCTACTTTCTGGAGCTCAAAGGCAGAGGCTATTTCTCAGGAAGGAGCAATCGCAAGGAACTTCTCATCGCTGCCTTTCCAGTGTGGCATATTGGATGACATGTGATTAACTGCCAACTCCCCATAAAGGAGTTACTCAGAGTTTTCTGGGTTTTTTGTTTATTTGTTGTTTGAGACGAAGTCCTCGCCGGCACCCAGGCCTGGAGGCAGTGGCGTGATCTCGCCCATGCATCTCTGCCCCAGGTTTCTCAGTGAATCTCCCCTGCCTCAGCCTCCGAAGTAGCTGGGGATACAGGGCCTTCCACCGAACGCCGGTTTTTGGTGTCGCGTTTTTCTTTTTTTGAGACGGGTCTCGTCGTCACCCACGCTGGAGTGCAGTGGTGGATCTCGGCTCAACTGCAAATTCCTACCTCCGGGTTCACGTCTAATTCTCCTGCCTCAGCCCCTGAGTAGCTGGGACTATGGGCGCTGCCACCACGCCTGGTAATTTTTGATTTTTTAGGCAGAGACAAGGGTTTCATCGTGGTTAGGACAGGATGGGTCTCGATGTCGACTTGGATCCGCTCTTCAGCCTCCCAAAGTGTAAGATGTAACAGTGTGAGGACTGTGCCGGCAAGGTGATCAGGTATTGAACAGCAGACGAGTCTAGAGGCCTCTCCGAGTCTATAACTTTCTGGCAGTTGAATCAAGGTTAGGCTTTTTTTGGCTGAGGCCTTCGCCATAGTCACTACATGTCCGGACTCGTGTGAACCGGTCTGGGTCCAGTGTGAATGAGTTTGGAAGTGTAGCTGAATGATTACATTTGTTACTTCAAGACTTTTTCTCCCCTGTGAATCTTCGGGTTGAATGAGGTTGAAATGCGGTAAGGGATTTCCCACAACACTGTTGTCCCAGTGGTGAATCCTCGATGTTTAAGCAAAGACGGAGCTGTGGCGAAAAAAATCCCCATTCCCCTGCAATCAGAAGCGCTTGCTCCAGTGTGAACCCTCGGAGTGAACCAGGCTGGAATTCTCACTAAAGACTCCCACATTCATGCATTAAAAGGCTTTTCTCCAGTGTGGAACTTTCGATGTTGGCATGAGCTTAACTTTGGCTAAAAAACTTCCACATTCGCTGCACGCGTAGCATTTTCCAGTGTGAACCGCAATGATGAATGAGGCTGGATTGGTGGCTATTAGAATTCACATCACTGCATTATAAGGTCTTTCTCCAGTGTGAACTCTCTGATGTTTCATGAGGCTGGAGTTGAAACTAAACAATTTTCCACATTCACTGCACTCATAAGGCCTTACTCCAGTGTGGATTCTGTGATGCTGAACAAGTGTGGAATTATGCCTGAAAGCTTTTCCACATTCACTGCATGTAAAAGGCTTTTCTCCAGTGTGAACTCTCTGATGTTGAATGAGGTCAGCATTACGGCTAAAGGATTTTCCACAGTCACTACACCCATAAGGCCTTTCTCCAGTGTGAACTATTTGGTGTATAAAAAGGTTGGACTTATGGCTAAATAACTTCCCACATTCACTGCATTCATAAGGCTTTTCCCCAGTGTGTAGTCTCTGGTGCTGAACAAGTAAATATTTCTGACCAAAGTCTTTCCCACATTCACTGCATTTGTAATACCTTTTTCCAGCATGAAAGGCCTCCTTACTTTTGGAGCTCCTATGTGACTTCTCTCCCGTGTGAGTCATCTGGTGCTTGAGAACACCTGAGCTGGTCAGGAGGTCCTTCCCAACTTCTCTGCTTTGCAAGGACTTCTCTGACAGGTGGACTCTGCAACTCCTCAAAACTGGGACCCTGCCCTCTTGTCTTTTTAAGGGTTTCTCTCCATAGTGCTTCTGGTGTTGCTGAACGTTTGAACTGGGCACTTTTACAGAAGCACTCTGCTCAAGGGCCTCCTTGGCCTCAGCTCCATGCCAACAACCTGAAAGAAGAGAAATGTTGATGAAGTAAACGTAGTCTTTGGTGTGAGGAGGCAGCACTCTCACAAATGTGTTTGACACATCCAGTAATTAGTGCCTGGGACTGTTGGCAGAATGAGGGGGCTAGCGCTTGGTGGGGAAGGGCCTGCTGTGCAGTGCTGAACCTGGCTAGATCACGGATTTGGGGAGGCCTCATGAGCACCAAAGATGCAAGGATGGGGTGTAGCACAGGGAGGAGAGGCAGAGTCCCCAACAAAATCCACTGCAAATGGCTTTCCACAGGACTTTGGCTGCTGGAGACACAGGAACATGGCACAAAAGGTTATGTCCAGGTCCAGAAAAAATCAACTGCAAGATGGGCGCGGTGACTCATGCCTGTAATCCCAGCATTTTGGGAGGTCAAGGCAGGTGGATCATAAGGTCAGGAGATCGAGACCATTCAGGCTAACATGGTGAAACCCAGTCTCTACTAAAAATACAAAAAATTAGCCGGGCGTGGTGGCAGTAGTCTCAGCTACTCAGGAGGCTGAGGCAGGAAAATGGCATGAACTTGATAGGAGGAGCTTGCAGTGAGCCAAGATCAAGCCACTGCACTTCAACCTGGGCAACAGAGCGAGACTCCGTCTCAAAAAAAAAAAACCAACTGAAAAGAAATAGTTGGTGTCCAAGCGCTATGCAAGGATAAGCTCTCACCTCACCATACATTCAGTGAAAGCCACTGCTGAAAGGTGCTGCTGAGGATTGGGTGAAACATGGAGGACAGAGAGGTGGGGAATGGACCCGGGTCAAATATCAGAATAGATATAAATGGGTGACTGAGGAAGAAAAGATAGAAATCAGCGATGACCCCTTGCCTTGGTATCAAAATATCTGCGCCCACTGCAAAGACTCCTAGTATGATATGAACCCATCCCCGAGTTCATACCTCCCTGAGCTCCACCCACCAAGTACCTTTTGGTAAGCCTGAAGTCACAACTTCCCAAGCAGGCATGAAGGGCTCCTCCCATGACTCCAGCTGGGTTATATCATGGGTCTTGGAAGATGCAAGTCCTAAGGAAAACAACAGGTGAGTGGCAGCACTGAGCCAGAATGACTTATCCCATCATGGACCACAGGAAAGAAAACAAAATAGTACAGAAAGAACCTTGGAGGAGGGTCTTACAGGAACAAACCTGTCAAACAGCAATCACATTGGTGACTCAATTGCTGGCACAGACAGACACCCAGGTATGTTGGCTAAGAGAAGGCAGGCAGAATGTAGCGGAATAGAATTACCACAGATCTGCACAGTGTGGCCAGGCCACAGAGAGGCCACCAGGGTTAAGACCCATCAAGCTGACTGAAAGACTCGTGACCCCCAAACCCTTTCCTACACAGCTCTGGGGCAGCTCGGGGAGAGAAGATGGTAGTATACGCAGCCCAGGCTGACTACAGTAGCTACTTCAAGATCCTGGAGAAGGAATGAGTGCCCACAATTCAGCTTTGGGAAGAATAGACCTGTCACTAGGAAAAGGAGGAAGAGCCAAGTCCAGCCCAGGATGCTGGGGTGGGGTGTGAGAAACTTACCCAGAGAGGCCAGAAGTGAAAAGTTCTCCAGCATCACATTGCGGCAGAGGAGCCTCTGAGTCTCATCAAGCAATCTCCATTCCTCCTGGGAGAAGTAGACAGCTACATCCTCAAAGGTCACATAGCCCTGCTAAGATGGAGAGAGTTAAGTTTATCTGTGGCCTCCTTACTGGGGAATTTAGGCATCCCCCTGAACATCCACCCCTGCTCACCCTCTTCCTCAATCCCCATCTCAGAGGAGAGACCCTGCCCCAGAACCACTGATGCCCCCTCTCTCCTCATGTTCCCACTGAGCAAGCACAGGCAGGTAGGCAGATATAGTCCATTTCAGCTCTGGGCATGGTATGCAGACTCCTACTCTTCTCTTGTCAGACAACTGACCTTGGATTCCAAGATTGTTTACCAAATACAATCAAATTTGTGTAGTGTTCTCCCTGAAGTCCCCAATACAAGGTCCCTGGGGACATCTGTTTATACTCATTAGAATGTACACATACTCTGTACCACAACCACTGCCCCCTATACCACCTTATGTACCTCCCCTAGTGTCACTACATTCTAGTCTACACATGGCATCCAGAGGGCACTTACCAAATGCAATCAGAACACCATCCCATCCTAGACCTCCAATGGCACTGACTGCCAGGGGCAACCCTCAGCCTCACTTTGAAGGCCTCCCTACCTGGCTCGTTTTGTTGCTTCACCTTCAGCTACTTGGAATTGCACACATATTTGGACGCCTTTGGCACTCTTCCATATCTGTGTTGAGAAGCTGTCCCTTCCCAATGTCAGCCTTCCTCTGACTCTCATTAGAATCGCAGGCCAGGCCAGGTGTGGTGGCTCACGCCTGTAATCCCACCACTTTCGGAGGCCGAGGCAGGTGGATCACCTGAGGTCAGGAGTTCGAGACCAGCCTGACCAACATGGAGAAACCCCGCCTCCACAAAAAATACACAATTAGCTGGGCGTGTTGGCACATGCCTGTAATCCCAGGTACTCGGGAGGCTGAGGCAGGAGAACAGCTTGAACCCGGGAGGCGGAGGTTGCTGTGAGCCAAGATCTTGCCATTGCACTCTAGCCTGGGCAACAAGAGTGAAATTCCATCTCAAAAAAAATAATAATAAATAAATAAAAATTAAAATTAAAAAAAAGGAGCCCAAGTCTCCCAAACCAGGCCCAGCAATTCTCCCAGATGACCTCATTTGATCTTGAGCTAATCCAGCAGCCTGAGAAGCTCCCCAGGTCCCAGCTAAGAACAAAAGCCTTGTGATCCCACAGTTGGATGAATAAGCAGCAGTGCCTGCCTTCCTGTCATCTTACGTCATAGCTTCATCTTCATGTCCATCTCATGTTTACCCCCACAGGAACTTTGGTCACCAACCAGACTCTCCTCACCACTACATCCCCTTCCCCATGGCCACCATTCTCCCTCATGTCCTTGTGAAGCCTACCACTCCCATCCAGGTATCCAAGCAAGAGAATCAGTTCTTTGCCCCTATTCTCCCTTATTACCTAATGGCATTACCAATAGGACCTCAAGATGCTCCCTCCTAAATCTGCTCCACTACCCCATTTGGTGCACACACCAACTGTATCGTGTGTATTTCCAATCTGAACCCTTCACCTGAATTCCAGACTTCTTTGTCCAGGTGCCCACTCAACGAATCCACTCAAGGGTCTCTGGAACATCTCATATCAACATGGCCAAAACCTAACTTAATTATTCCCACTGAAAACTACTCTTACCATTAACCTCTTTCTCTTACCCTACACACTATAGAAATCAGCTCATTAACATATAACCAGATCCAGAGTCAAGAAGGCGGTGGTACACACTGTAATCCCAGCACTTTGGGAGGCCGAGCAGGCCAGAGCACGAGGTCCAGGAGAATCTGAGAACCATCCTGGTTAACACGGTGAAACCTCATCTCTACTAAAACTACAAAAAAGAAAATTACCCGGGCGTGGTGGCGGGTGCCTGTAATCCCAGCTACTCCGGAGGCCTGAGCAGGAGAATGGCCTGAACCCCAGGAGGCAGAGCTTGCAGGGAGTCACGATTGCCCACTGCATTCCAGCCTGGGCGACAGGTGGTGAGAACTCGTCTCAAAAAAAAAAAAAAAAAAAAGACTGGCCATAATCCCTGCATAGCCTTCCCCATTTCCATCCTTCCTGATATTCAGGAGTAAACAAACAAACAAAATACAAAGAATAGAGGCCAGGTCCTCAGCCAACCACTTCAGGTCTGCCTTATACCTACTGATGCTTCCGCCAGACATAATGGAGATCTAACGGTTGCCTAAGCATTTCCAGCTCCAAACTTAAATCCATGTATTTTCTCATGTTGATCACTACATGCCTTCTAAACCTCTGTCACTGGTTGCCAGAAATGAGAACCTCTTCCATATAAATATAATCTGAGCCAGGTGTGGTGGCTCATGCCTAAAAATCCCCAGCAGTTTGGGAGGCAGAGGCAGGCAGATAACCTGAGATTGGGGTTCGGAGACCCCAGCCTGACCAACATGGAGAAACCCCGTCTCTACTAAAAATACAAAATTAGCCAGGGTGACAGCATGTGCCTGTAAATCCCAGCTACTCAGGAGGCTCAGACAGGAAATCGCTTGAATTCCGGAGGAGGCGACGTATTGCAATGAGCGCCGAGATCACCGCACATTGCACTCCAGTCTGGGCCAACAAGAGCTAAAATTCCATTTCAAAAAGAAAGAAATAAATAAATAATAATATATAGTCTGGACCTCAGGACCTGACTGTACGACTGTTTTCCAGGGAACTCCAAAATGGAAGGGGTAGGGATAACAGCAAGCAAGGAGTCTCAAGACACTACGATTCTGAAGACCATGTAGGTAGGAGTTGAGCAGGCGGTGAGGACCTTGAGAAATCCTCCATTTACCCTCCTCATGGTATGCAAGTAACTGCAGTCACAAGAACCTATGGAAAATCAAGGCAATGAGAACCAGACAGTGACGTTGCCAAAGGATCATCCAAGCCCCCTCGTCTAGCCTGGAGACAGGTGTGCCTGAGTATCTACAATCTGGGCTTTGGTTCTTAGTGATGCCTCTTACCTGTTGTGTGCCCTTGCAAAAATGCTCAACTTCCCTGTGCCTTGGTGTTGCCATCTGCAACATGGCAATAATAATGGTTTTCACTCAATAGGACTATTGTTTGTATCAAACTCATTCTTATGTGTCTAGGACTAAGTATCAACTCTTACTGTACACATAATTAATGCCTGTCAACATTTTCAGTGCAAATAAACTGGCAGGTTTTAAAAATATGGGTTTCTGCCTGGGCACAGTGGCTCAAGCCTGTAATCCCAACTTTGGGAGGCTGAGGTGGGCAGATCACAACAGCAGAATTCTGAGAAAGAAGAAAGAAAGAAAGGAAAGAAAGAAAGAAAGAAAGAAGGAAAGAAAAAGAAAGAAAGAAAGAAAGAAAGAAAGAAAGAAAGAAAGAAAGAAAGAAAGAAAGAAAGAAAGAAAGAAAGAGAAAGAAAGAAAATGTGGGTTTCCTTTTGGCAACCTGGCTGCCTGCTATATACTCCCCTGAAGGCAATCCTGCTGAGAGCCCTTCTACTGGAGCAGTTGATCATCCCTCCTGTGCTGATGGCTAGGGAAACTTAGGCACCAAAGGGGCTGCTCCACCAGCCTGGCTGACCTTTCCTTTTCTTCATACGGACTGGACATGAGGAACTGCTGAGCCTGGAGTGGCAAACCTATATACTACCCAACACTGCAGTCTCCATCCAGTCCTGGGTTTTCATACTCTATAACCCTCCATTCCTGCAGGCACCAGACAGAACCACTTCGGACCACAAAACCCCAGGCTGTAGAGGCTGCCCCGGCCTACAGGCCCATCTCTCCCTTCCCTCACCTCAGGGACCATCGGAAAGAAAACCTCAGGGACCATCTGAAAGAAAACCTCAGGGACCATCGGAAAGAAAACCTTAAGATTCTCCCTCCTAAATAGGAGCCCCAGGCCTTCCAGCTGCCCATGTGGACACGATACCTCCACTCTGGGACTTCTCAGGAAACCATGCCCAAAACCTACTCCCTGCACAGCCTTCCCAATCTCCATCCTTCCTGATATTCAGGAACAAACAAAAATACAAATAAAAATCCAGAATGGCTCTTCATTCCCTACTTTCTTTCATAGTCACATCTGATGCAACAGGAATTCCCTCCTGTTCAGTTTTTGAAATCCATCCAAGATCTCATCACTTCCCCTCCTCTATGGCCCAGTCCCAGTAGACTCTCCACTAATCTACTGAATTTACCTACTCACATGTCTGTCCTCACCCGCCTCACCCCCATCCCAGTGTGTTTTGCCTTGAGAGGCCTTTGGCAAACTTAGAGAAACAGATCGTGTCACTCTTCTGTCTCCAGCCCTCTGCGGCCACTGTGGCGCCCTCAGGATGAAAGCGCAGCTCCTCGGGCCGTCGCTCCACACGCGACTGGTCCCTTCCCAAGCTGCCTACTACGGACACCAGGAGACCTCAAGTTCGGGACTCGCTGAGCGCGCCTCACATCTTTGCGAGCCGGACCCCTTGCCCTCCATTCCCACCCCATCACACTGCGTGTCAGAAACGGGACCCCGCCCACGAACGCCCCACAGTTCTGCACCCGGGGACCTGAGCAGGCGGCCCTCACAGGGCTTTAGGATTCGGGGGAGGCCGGGAGGACGCGGCGCTCACCTGAGCGGGGTCCCTTAGCGCGGCCGCCGCCATCCGAGCCTGTGGGTAGAGCGGGCGGGGAGACAACAACCGAGGAGAGGGCCCGGGTCACCCTGGGAGCCGCCACCGAGCCTCAGACCCGCCTCTGAGCGGTGAGAACAGAATGCGGAGCCACCGCGCCTTCCGGCGCTGGTTGCCTCAGCGCACAATCAGCTTCCACCAGGCTGAGATCTCCTGACAGCAGCGAAACTGACCGCCCAGAGGAGACGCCGGAAGTCCCGCCCAGTGCGCGTCGCACGTTCGGGCAGGCCTCTTTTCATTGGCCAAGCATCGCGGCTCCGGGCGCGGCGGCTTCTGGGCAGTGTAGTTCCCATGGCGCCAAACTTAGAGGAAGTGGGCGTAACTTCGGAGATGGAGATTGGAGATGATAGATGATGACGGAGATGGAGATGGAGATGATGCAGATGGAGATGGAGATGGAGATGAAGATGGAGATGAAGATGGAGATGAAGATGGAGATGGAGATGATGATGAAGATGGGGATGATGGAGAAGATGGAGATGATGGAGTAGGAAATGGAGAATGGAGGAGAAATGAGTGTCCAGAACTCTCGGACTCATCTGGAGCCTGTTGTAATTGGAGATGGGACTGGATTTCAGTTTCCTACCGCTGATACTCCAATCCTTCCTTCTTTTCAAGGACTCAAAGAGGATCTTCAGAGCCACAATAAAGAGGTTTCTCTGGGCAGAGCCACGTATACCTTCCTAAATTTCCTTTGGCAAGGGGACACCCAATATTAAAGTTAACAGTGGCCAAGCAATGCCTGATGTATGATAACAAGAAAAGGCTCTGAATTCTGGATGTAGGTGATGAGAGAGTAGGGGAGCCCAAGGATTTACGTTCCTCCTTCACCCCATGCTCATTTGTGCTCTTTCCTTCCTCAAGGATGCAACGTTGATGTACAGGCACAACAATAGGAGGCAAACCCATAAGCCAACTCCCCCTCAATTTCTCTCCTTCATCCATTTCTGCTCCATGTTCCTTTCACCGTTACTACAGGACTGAATGAAGGGGGATGAACACAGAAATGAAAACAAAGGCAAAATAAATCTGTTTTAAAGAAGGGGTTAGAGGGCTCCTTTCTTCTAGTTAGCAAAGGCCCTGAGCTTCCACAGCCCTTCATATTTATTGGGTAGAAAGAGCAGGGAGGAGGAGCTAATGATTGGTCAGCTGCTTGATTGATCACAGGTTCACATTATTGCAAACAGGCTTCAGATGTGCCTAATCACAAGAAACATTTGTGCCTGGGGCGTGACTGCCCTCAGCATTCCTTCTTGACAGCAGACGCAGTTTGTCAGTTTGCCAACAACCTACTTTAATGAGAACACTTTGCTGTTTACTCCAGTGGTATACTGAGTTGATCACAACACTCATTCTTTCGGCTTCCAACATCTCCCCCTTTCTGTCTTTGAATTAATTGAATAAGATCTGTCCCTATGTTATGGAGATTGATGCCAGTGTGACTCCAGTCGGTCCTCATGCCATCTTCGCATTCTGCATGTGAAGCATGCGAAGCAGCTGGCTCATGGCTTCCATTGGGAGAACCAGGCCCATGGTTGGAATCCCAGTCTCCCCTTCCATGGTCACACACACCTTGAGGGTATCCACATGGTTTGTCCATCTCCTTTAAAAACACAAGCATACCCTCATCTCCACGTTAGTAAGTCTACCGAAAACTTTCCACTGATAACGAGAGACAGGCTCTTTCTGATTAACAGAAGGCATAGAGAAAGCAAATCAAGGATTAATAGAAGGCACAGAGAAAACAAATTGAGGTTTATCCTTCTCGTGCAATAGTATAGCAAAAAAAAAAATAAAATAAAATAAAATCCCCAAGGTCTACCACCATGAGAGGCCAGTCTCTTAGAATGGCTGCCGGCGATGGCAGACCCTGCTATAATGCACACATTGGTTTAATCTGTGCATTAATAGCTCTCAAATCATGTAGCAATCGCCATTTACCTGACTGTTTTGGAATCACAAATACTGGTGAATTTCAAGGGCTGACTCTTCCATATTTCCTCCTTCCAATTGCTCTTCTACTAACTGATGGAGTTGAATCAGTTTCTCCTGTGATAGAGGATACTGAACCACCCATATAGGTTTGTCAGTCAGCCACTCTAACGGCAAAGCAGTGTGTGGAAGAGAAATACCAATGACCCCCATCAGAAATCCTGACGACTTAGCCCTTTTTCATCTCTTTCTCCAGTTATTGATATAGGATCAGGGTTTCCTTGTATGGACTTTCCTAAGCCTTTTCTGCTCTGACACCCCCCCCTTTTTTTTTTTTTAACATTTTAAATCCTGGTTTGTCAATAGTTTCATTTGTAAGTCTGATATCCCATGCTGTAAGTAAATCTCCACCCCATAGATTAACATATTTGCAACGTAATGTTGAAAAGTACGGCCGGGGCCGGGCGCGGTGGCTCAAGCCTGTAATCCCAGCACTTTGGGAGGCCGAGACGGGCGGATCACGAGGTCAGGAGATCGAGACCATCCTGGCTAACACAGTGAAATCCCCTCTCTACTAAAAAATACAAAAAACTAGCCGGGCGAGGTGGCGGGCGCCTGTAGTCCCAGCTACTCGGGAGGCTGAGGCAGGAGAATGGCATGAACCCAGGAGGCGGAGCTTGCAGTGGGCTGAGATCCAGCCACTGCACTCCAGCCTGGGTGACAGAGCAAGACTCCGTCTCAAAAAAAAAAAAGAAAAAGAAAAAAAAGAAAAGTACATGACCGGTCTGAGACAGGGTAAAATCTCAGCACTGTTTTGAACACTTTGAGCTGTTCCTACTCCTTCTAGGGATGTAGAAGCTAATTGCAGAGGCCAGGACAGGGGTCAATTGTTCTTAGATATTAATGACACATTAGCTCCCATAGCCATAAGCCGATAAAACTTCTTTCCTTTAATTTACACTGTACAGGTGGGTCTATAGATGCTATAGGTTCTGATAGATAAATTTGCCATGTAGTTGTACTTCCAAATCCTTGATTCCCTCGTTTCTCCCTTCATGGAGAAGGGTTCAATTTCCAGGTAATAAGCTACAGTTGAGCAATATAGTCTTCTGGTTCAAAAACCCAAAGATCTTGCAACATCACCACTACCAGAATTTCTCCTCATTATCTGAATCAGCAACTCCTAGGACTACAGCAATACCCTGTAAGTTAAGATGAGTTTTGCCCAAAATTAATCCCATATATTCTGTTGGCAAAGGTCCACAAATACCAGTGGGAATCTTGGTGGGTTTGTCTCCGCCAACCAATGTAACCTGTTCTCTGACTAGGAGGTCTAATCCTGCACTTTCAGGTGTTCCCACTGCTGGAGGGAGTGGTACAGGCAAGTTTTCATCCTCTCTCTCCTTTTCACCAACCTTGATAGGAGTTGTGGGTGGGGCAAAAGACTCTCAAATTTTGAAATTCAGAACATAACAAATTCCAAACAAAACAGAAAAAACAAATTCTGCCCCATGTTACCTTGATTCAAAAATTTCCCATTCTCTGTACCTCTTTAGGACGCTGACCAGTACCTCTTTAGGGCACTGGCCTTATATCCACTGCCAGCAGACTCATCCCAGAGTTTCTCATTTGTCTGATCAGTTTCACTTCTTCAGCTCCAGCAGACTTTCATTGTTTATGGTCCCTGTAGGTCCCTGTTAGTCCCTGCAAGTCCCTTCAAGTCCCTTTTCTTCCCTATTCATCTCTATTTATCCCTACTTGTCCCTGCAGGTCTCTTGAGGTCCCTGTTTGGGCGCCACTTGCGATAGTTACTATGGGACTGAATGAAGGGGGATGAACAAGAAATGAAAACATAAGACAAAATAATCTGTTTTAAAGAAGGGGTCAGGGGCTCCTTGCTTCTTGTGAGCAATGGCCCTGAGTTTCCACAGCCCTTCATATTTATTGGGTAGAAAGAGCAGGGAGGAGAAGCTAACGATTGGTCATCTGCTTGATTGATCACAGGTTCACATTATTGTGAACAGGCTTCAGATGTGCCTAATCACAAGAAACAGTTGTGCCTGGGATGTGACTGCCCTCACCATTCCTTCGGGGCGGCAGACGCAGTTTGTCAGTTTGCAAACCACCTGCTTTCATGAGAACAATTTGCTGTTTACTCATATAGCCTCCAGTGGTATACTGAGTTAATCACAACCCTCATTCTTTCAGCCTCCAACATGTTCCCACTACTCTTCCATTTCCAAATATAAAGCCAATTCCTCACAGGTGGGTAAAATGCTAGACTGTTGTTTACAACACACAACTATTGATTTTAAAAGTCAAACCTTTATTATGTGTTGTCCCACTACATCCATTCCCATTGAATCTAGTCCTTGTGTCAATCTAATTTCCCTACTTCTTTTCCTGCCCCTTCCATCTGTGGGCTGAATAATCAATTTCAACACAGCCTTGGAGTGACTCATGAGGACAAGAGAAAATGAAGCCTTCCCTCCTTCTTGGAGCTTCCTGGAACTGGGTGTTCAGTACTAATTGACTCTGAAAAGGAGGGGAGTCAATATTGGGATTGAGAACATGGTAGAATTGAGAGAGACACAAGTTCTTTACCCCTTCCATGGCAACTATGGCATTAATTATTTCAGTTAGACCATTATGTGGCATGTGGAAGGGAGGGGAGGAGGAGAGTAAGGAGAGCTGAATCCATGACAGGAGTGGGACAATGTGTAGATAATCTCCTCCTTCTGAAACAAAGCACAGGAATAAATGTTTCACTTCCTTCAGAACATCTATTAGAAGAACAGATTCTGGATTATTCATCTAATAGATTATGAGTCAGTCATGAAAATTAGCTGGCCATCATGACATGAACCTTTGTGAACGAACCTAACAAACATATTACAGAATCTAGTCACACAGTACAAAACATACAGAAAATTCAGAATCTGGCAATAAGAAAGAGTATGTCATTTAGGAAAATATATGTATGTGGTAAAACTATAAAGACATTAATAGAATGATTATCAAAATGATTAACAAAAATGTCATGTAAATGTTAGCTTGATGGGGTGAGTCAGGCATGTGAGGCAATGTGAAAAGAGAAGATGCCTAGGAAAGTATGCTTTTTATCCAGGCGTGGTGGCAGGCGTCTGCAATCCAACTACTTGGGAGGCTTAGGAAGGAGCATCGCTTGAACCTGGGAGGCAGAGGTTGCAGTGATCTGAGATCACACCACTGCACTCTAGCCTGGGTGACAGAGTGAGACTCTGTCTCAAAAAATAAATAAAATAA